ACACTGGTGTCATCCCCAGGAGAACAAAGGAAATGTGTCCAGGCATCAAGTTCCATTTTATGGCAGGTGACATAGCAGATCATGAGCTCCTCAGGGAGCAAGTGGTGGGCGACTGAGGTTATGGCTGTCCTAGACCCCAAGGCTTCTCTGAGGGAGGTGAGGTCAGGAGCAGCAAGAAAGGCAGGAGTCAGGGCTGGGCAGGGTGGCACTGAGCATTCCTAATGGGACCCTGTGAATTACCCTGGGCCATGGAAAAGATAGGGGTTTTCTTGGGAAGAAGGGAGATGGAAGGAGTCTTCTCTGGCTGAATTCTGGATTCAAAAGGAGGGGCGCTCGCGGGCGCCACGGCAGCGTCCGCGGCCAGCTCTGTCCCCACGGTCGCTCTTCGGAAGCCCTTGCTGCACGGCGGGCTCCCCTCCTCTGAGTGCCCTGATACCCGGGTCTTCCTGTACGTCTCACCGCCCCTTGCTCCTTGACGCTCTAAAATTATAAAAATAATAAAAATAACAAAAGGAGACAAGTTGGAGGGGAGGCAGTGCCATCCTAGAGGGCAAAGGGAGAGATTCCATCTTCTGTCCCACCCAGGAGGAAAAGGGTAGATCTGCTCTGGGGAAGATGGGATTAGCTCAGCAAACTGGATGGAGAAACTTAAATCTAAGAATGGGAGCAGAGAGAGCAGGGGGAAGCCCTGGGAGTTAGACATTTCCAAGCCCAATCACATGCTTTGTGATTTTGGAGCCAGGGACAGAAATAAACAGAGGCCAATAGAATGTATCCCTGCCAACAGCATGGCAGCTGCCACTGGGTGATGTTTATCAAAGGGAAGAGGTTCTTCCCCAGAGAACCCTTCTTGGATACCAAGTGCCTTCCTCCTCTACACTGTGTCTCCCTTGGCCCCATTCCTGCCCTCATGAGACCACTTCACTTCCCCACACCACCAATGATCTCCCTTATGACCACCACTCCCCTAAGTCCCCACTTCAGTAGGCCTGTTCCCTAATATCCCCGTTCTGTATTCTCTGACATCCTGTGGTGTGCAGAACCAGAGGCACTGTGAGGCCAGGCAGCAATCATGGGTCATTAGACATCTGCAAATGAACAGGTGGCCCTTGGCGGTGTGAGGAGGAACTCCCATTGCTGCCACATGGAGTTCCTGGCCTCCACAGCCTTCCTCTAGGCTCCCATCCTTCTCCTGTCAGTCACTCACCCCACAGACTCTCCTGAGTACCCAGTGTGTGTGCCATGTCCTGACTCTGGGGAACTCTGAGTCACATGGAGAAGACAGCGCCACTGAACAGACTCTGGAGTGAGGACAGGAGGCACCGGAGTGAGTGCTGAGGCCAGTGGCTGAGCTCTCCTGGAAATGGACAACACAACCCAGGCTGCCTCCGCTGGGAACCATGGAATTTGTCTGCAGTTAAAACACCTGCAGCCACACACCTGCGGGCCCTTGAGCCAAGGGCACAGTAGACCCAGATGTGCCCAGAGGGACCTGAGCTGGGCTTCTGCTGGCCTTCCCTGGAAGGGAGAGGCAGTTTTTTGTTTGTGTTTTGTTTTGTTTTTAAACATTGTACAAGTATACATTTTAATACATGGAGGTGGAATAACACATATGTGTTGTTTTTTTAAATATATATTTTTATTGATTTCAGAGAAGAAGAGGGAGAGAGAGAGATAGAAACATCCAGGATGAGAGAGAACCATGGATCGGCTGCCTCCTGCTAGTCCCCCACTGGGGATTGAGCCCTCAGCCCTTGACCAGAATGGAACATAGGGCCTTTCAGTTCTCAGGCCGACGTTCTATCACGGAGGCAAACTGGCTAAAATGGGAGAGGCAATTTTGTAGAAGGGCCCAGCGGGCATGCCCAGGGCACACTACTTGGGTACAAATCCCAACCCAGAGACTCACTCCCTGTGTGACCTCGGGCCAGTCCCTCCCGAGGCCTGTTCCTCCTCTGTGAGCAGGCGTGACGGTTAGAGCACATGTGTCAAACACAAGGCCCGCGGGCCAAATCCGTCCCGCCAGGCCTTGCAATGTGGCCCGCATGGCGCTGTCATCACTGCACTCCGCTGCGTTTCCATCACAATGACAGTTTATGACTGTTCAGTAAACCATTCGGCCCGCGATTTAGGCTAGATTTTAGATTTTGGCCCCTTCTCTGATTGAGTTTGACACCCCTAGGTTAGAGCCTCCTGGGGCACCTGTGGGGGATGGTGCTGCCAACAGTGGAGATCTTCCCAGGGAGGCCGTGTCCTAGCTCTCAGTCCCCCACAGCTCAGTTTATTTTCTCTTCCTTTTTTCCTTTTCTTGCTAGAATGCGATAGCAAGTGACCAAACTATAAGAAAGAAAGAAAATGTTCAAAGCATAGTTCTATTCATTTTCCTACAAAGCAGAAGAAACAACAGTTATTAGCTGTTTGCTTGTTTTAGTGGCAGAGCATGTGAGACGGGCACTGCTGGCAGGTTCTGGAGGAGGAGAGGCTGGAGCTGACTCCCCTCTGAGGCTGGGGGAGCTGAGGCAGGTCAGCAGCCTCTGAGTCAGAGGGGAGAAGCTGAGCTCTGGGGAGAGTATGGGTCTTAGGCATCAGAAGGGGTTGGGGTCTGGGGACAGAGGTCCACCTTGGGGGCAGGGGTTTAAGGAACAATAACGGGAGCTCTGCAATAAATCTAACTGTGCCCTGGCTGTGGTGGCTCAGTTGGTTGAGTGTTGTTCCTTGCCCTGGGAGGTCGCTGGTTCAATACCCATCCTGGTGCATGCCTGGGTTGTGGGCTCCATCCCCAGTAGAGTGTGTGTTCAAAGTTTCTCTCTCTTCCATTTTTCTCTCTCTCCCCAATCTCTTTCTCCCCCTGAGATATATATTTAAAAAATAAATCTTATGTCACATGATCTCACACATCTAGGGGAAATAATGAACAACATAAACTGATGAACAAAAAACAGACCTGGAGACAGAAAAGCATCAATCAGACTGTCAAACCTCAGAGGGAAGGTAGGGGAAGATGGGGGTAAGGGGGAGAGATCAACCAAAGGATTTGTGCGCATGCCTATAAGCCTAACCAGTGGTCACGGACAATAGAGGGGTGGGGGAATACATGGGGAAGGGTTTGGGATGGGAATGGGGGGTTGAGGACAATTATGTGACACCATAATCAATAAAGAAATTAAAATAAATAAATAAATCTAACTGAAGGCAACCTCATAGGGTGATCTGATCATAAATTTCTAACCAGACAGGTGGTGGTGGGTAGTCACACCCAAGGCCGATAGCAGGTTCCTCTCTCCACTGTTTTTGTAGATCTAGCTGAACTCCCCTTTGAAATGCCTCTTTTTCAGACCCCTCTAGAGAGGACATGATCTGGTTAAGTATCTTGTAATCCAGTTAGAGATCTACTTAAGTCACAGCATTCTCCCACCTCCCAGTAACTTCCCTTACGTTCCCTCCTTAGATCTAAATGCAGAACAGAAACTGGGAAGCATTTTTCTCAGCCTGAGGCGATCTTGCTTCCGGAAGTGTCCTCTGTTTGACACAAATATACTCTTTCAGAAACTCCTATTCACATTGTCTGCTGGGCTGCACGTTTTTTTCATTGACCGGAAGCAGCTGGATGGAGGCTCACACTGGAGCAGGAGAGTGTCTGTCCTGGGGGTGGCAGAGTAGGGGTTCCTTGGGGAGTTCCCAGCAGACAACGGCTCATTCTTCCAGCCCAGGATTATAAGCACCAACTGGATCCCCAGTGCTGCCTTGACAGTAGAGAATGCAAACCGTTGGGGTGGAGACAGAGGCAGAGAAAGGCCATTCCCAGGAAGACTCTCCACGTCCAATCCCCACACTCCGAGGAAGCACATCAGGGACCTGCTGTCCTCAACCCAAGGTGGACGCCACATGAGTGATGGAGGTGCCTCAGGAGGCTCTGCCCCGCGCCATACAGTCCCCGAGCCAGGACAGCATCCCGTTCATGTGTGCAGGAAGGAGCCCTGTGATCCATCTCCAGCAGAGTCAGCTCTTAATGGAAATGGCTACTGAATTCCCCTGTGCTGACAGAACGTAGGGAGGAGGGAAGAGGACGTAAGAGCAAAGAACTGTGGACTGGCCAGCTTCGCAGTGGAAACCCCCAAGGTGCTGCCTCAGCTACACAGGGGGAGGGGAGGGAGGGGAAGAAGGGGAGGCAACCAGAAAAGGCCTCAGCCCAATTTTTCTTCTGGCCCAATGGGAGAGAGAAGACCCAGGCGACGTAAGAGGCACACCCCTAGGAGTATAAACAGGCTGTGGTCCTACTCCAGGTGTGTTTGTGCAACCGGAAAGAGCCACTCCCCAGAACGCATTAAAAATCTCGCTTTTGCAGAAACCGGTTTGGCTCAGTGAATACAGCATTGGCCTGCGGACTGAAAGGTTCCAGGTTTGATTCAGGTCAAGGGCATGTACCTTGGCTGTGGGCACATCTTCAGTGGGGGGCGTGCAGGAGGCAGCTGATCCATGTTTCTCTCTCATCTATGTTTCTAATTCTCTATCCCTCTCCCTTCCTCTCTGTAAAAAATCAATAATATATATAATATATATTTTAAAGTCTCAATTTTGTCATACTTCTTTCTGCCTCATGGTCTGTTATCTGAGTTCAGACAGGTGAGCATTTCTCACAATTTGTCACTGGGAATTGGGAGGTGGAGGGGGGTGCCCGGGCGCCTTCCCTTCCCCTGAGCCCTGGGGGTCAGTGCTCCCCTGCTCAGGCAGCGCCGGGCACCCTGGGCCTCCCCTGCTGCCCAGCTCATCACTCCGTTTGACTGTTCCGTGGGCTTTTCCAGATGCACCCCGAGCCAGATTCCTTCCTCCCTTTGGACCAGACTCCCAGGAGGCATGCGCCACGCGGTGGGACCTTGGAGGAGCCACGTGACCTCTCTGGGCCCCAGTTTCCCCTCCCGTGAACTGAGGGAGCGGAACTCCAGGGTCCTTCTCCTAACGTTCTCTCTTCTGCACACACGTGACACTCTGCGGGTAAAGAGCTTTAATTGTGGGTTGGACAAGGAAGGGACCTGCGGGGGGGTGTGGAGGACGTGGGGGACCCCACAGCACAGGCCATGACTCCGAGGGCCCCTCAATGGGCTGCATTTAAAACTCGGGGTGAATCTGCAGCCGCCTGCCCTCCGGCAGGTCCACTCGCACAGGAGGTCTCCAGTGGGTTCGGTGTGCGCTGTGGGTGGGGGGACGGTTCTCAGAAGCGGGGGACGGGCTGCAGGCGCTTCGGAGGGACCGGGATGGCATGCTCCCGCCGGGACAGGGCGCACAGCAGCGGCCTGGGGTAGGACAGAGTGTACGTGCTCTTCCGCAGGCCGGCCTCGGGGGCGAGCCATCTCTGCCTCAGCCACTCGTAGAGTCCGTAGTTTGTAGGGGGAGCTGCAAGAGAAGCGGAGTTTGGGTGGGCAGGGCTCAGAGCATGGGGCCTGCCCCAAGGCTGGCGGGGACACACACACACACACACACACACACACACACACACATAGAGGCTTCCCAGGCTGTGGGATCAGGGATTCAGTTGGCAGTGCCCAGACTGGGGCGGGGGCAGGGGAAAGAGGCTTGTAGGGGAATGTAGGCTCCACCAGTACCCCCTTCCCGGGAGTCGCAGGTGGGGGCCCGCTCCCTGAGACTCAGGAGGGACCCGAACTGCTGGAGGCTTCAGAAAACTCTGCCCTGGGCCTGGCTCAGGGCGGCCCTGCCTGCTCTTCTGTAACTATCCCACCCCTGGGGGACGGGAGCTGCTGGGCTTGTGAGATGAAGAAACCCCTCCCAAAGAGACAGATCATACCCAGCCGGTCTGGCTCAGTGGATAGAGTCTTCAGGTTCAGTTCTGATCAAGGGCACTCCTCTCCGGCCTGGGCCCTGGTCGGGGCATGGGCAGGAGGCAACCAATCCATGTGGTTCTCTCACATCGATATTTCTCTGTCTTTCCCTCTCTCTTCCACTCTCTCGCTCTTAAAAAAAAAAAAATCAATGGAAAAATATCCTCAGGGTCCCTTTGCATAGGAGGGTTGCACTGCAAAGGGGTGGATGCCAAGGGCCGGGGTAGATCAGAGCTGGGCAGTCTCCTATGCAAATTCCTCCAGAGTCTTGGGAATGTAAGGAGGACGAAACCCATACCTACTGTGGCCCATGGGTCCCTGTGGTCGTCCTCTCCTCCTGTCTTGCATCTTTGTCACCAGCTACCCTCACCCTGGAATACTCTTCCCCTTAATCCCCACAGGCTCCCTCCTCAATTCAATCATCTCCTGGGACAGCCTCTCTCTCCCTCATCACCCACCCAGAGGAGGTCCACGGAGACCTGCCTCACTCTCTATCTTGACCCATCTTCTTTTCTTCAGAGCACCTATCCTGTCCAAAGTTATCTCCTTTACTAGCTCATTCACTCTCCTTTTCCCTCGAGGTGTCTTAGCTCTCTGCTGGCTGGAATGTCAAGTCCCTGAGGGCAGGAGTCCCTCCCTGTTTGTCATGGCTGTGTCTCCAGATGCTGCCACACGCTGGCACCCGGACATGGTACTGTTTATGAAGTGTGCCCGGCCGGTGTGGCTCAGTGGTTGAGCATTGACCTATGAACCAGGAGGTCACGGTTCAATTCCCGATCAGGGCACAGGCCTGGGTTGTGGCTCGATCCCCAGTAGGGTGCAAGCAAGAGTTAGCTGATCGATGATTCTCTCTCATCAATGTTTCTCTCTCTCTCCCTTCCTCTCTGAAATCAATAAAAATATATTAGAAAGAAAGGAAGAAGAAGAAGAAGGGGAAGAGGCAGGTGGCAGCCCCGGGGGCAAATAGGACTTCTCCCCCCCACCTTCCTTTCCCCCCCACCCCCGCCCATCATCTCATTCTAATGCTGTCCTGGAGTCTGGGTCCCCCGTGCGGGTCTTTCTGCGTGAGCCCGGCACACCTGAGTCCTGGGCAGGTGGGGACCCCATCACAGGGGGGGGATCCGAATTATACAAATACCCAGGAGGGGGCAGTCGTTTTTCTCCGGGAGCCACAGCAACTTGTGTCTGTTCCAGGTGCGGTGCACGGGCAGGCCCGGGTTATAATTGTGCCGGTTGTAATGGTCGTCGTACGTGCTGATCAGGTGGTAGTGCGAGGGCTCCTGGTGGTGGGTGATCAGGTGTTTGTACGGGAGTCCCTGGAAGGACAGACACGGCGGGCCTGTGACCGAGGGAGCGAGGCCTCACCTGCCCGTGGCCGTGGACGGAGGCAGAGTCGCCCGCCGTGGCGGCCCGTGGAGCTGATGGCCAGGGGCGCCGGCAAGTGTGGCTGCGTGGGCTCTCGGGGCCGCCGAACAGGAAACACACTGGTCTGCCCTGACCCCATAAGCTCACCTTCAAACACCCGTCTCAGCTCTAGCCGTGAGCTCTCCGTAGGCGTGGTCCCCAGCCTGGGCCAAGCATGTGGGCTCCGGGGACACATTGGTGTGAAAGTCAGGACGCCTATGACTAGGAAGAGCCACCGCCATCTGGCCGCCTGCCCCTGGGAGCTGCAGTCAGACCCTGTGGTTTGTCTCGAGTCTCATCATCCACCGAGTGAGTGCCCGTTTCCAAAGAAGGGGCCGGGGCCTGGCACATGCACCCTGTGTTTCCATCCGTTACTATGGGAAGAGGCAGAGACGCCCCATGCACGGCTTCCTGCAGGGATTTACAGCCGGACACCTGGGGCGGGTCGCTTTGGTGGGGAGTAATTCACAGGGGGAAGAAAGCCAGTTCTCCTTGCCCTGGGACGTTTGCCTGAAACGGCGCTTTTCCTAAGAAAATCCTCTTGGGGTCCTGGGGGGCTGGGCTGATTTACGGGGAGGATAATGCTGATTTTCACGCCCGTCCTCTTGTCTGGGGCAGACAGGGAGGCCTGTGTCTGCTCTGGTCTGGAAATGCTGGCTGTACCCAATATTTCAAGTTGTGGTTCCATAAATAAGTCAGATCACAATGCCAGAGGGAGGCAGGGGGATGGGCACGGACGGGGAGCCGGGGTTCCCAAGGTCTCCATCGCCAGGCGCCCAGAGCGTTTCCAACACCAGGGAAGGCGAGCCGAAGAGGTTCCCATCGGCCCAGAGGAGGAAAGGAGAGAGAGCACCCTCCCCCTCCGCCCCAGGGTTTTCATGCTGTTCCTCTGGGTTTGGGGCTCGGCCCTGCTGTCTTGATTACATTCCCAGGACTTTTGTCCTCAGACAGGTAGGGCAGGTAAGGTGACAGACATCGAGACAGCTGCCTTTGAGAGAAGAGCTTACAGGCCCCCAAAGGAGAGGCACGCCATGCCACACAGGGCCACCCCGCAAAGCAGCAAGGTCGGTCAGCGGCAGGAGAAGAGAGAGATGGCCCAGAGAATGGGCCAGGCAGGGCAGGCAAGTTTCAGAAGTTCAGGATTGCATAGGCCAGTGGTCAGCAAACTTTCTTCTGAGAGCCAACTTTTTTAAACTTCTTCTAACGCCACTTCTTCAAAATAGACCCGTCCAGGCCGTGGTATTTTGTGGAAGAGTCACACTCAAGGGGCCAAAGAGCCGCACTTGGCTCGTGAGCAGCAGTTTGCTAACCACTGACATAGGTTGTTTGTTTGTTTGTTTGTTTGTTTGTTTAAGATTGCATAGTTTGAATAATTTCAGATGGCTCTGGGCTCCGGGAGTGCCTCTGGTTGGGGGCATCTGTCCTTGGATGGGGAGATACCGTGTTGGAGAGCGAGTTCGGATAAAGGGGGGTGGGTGGGGGTGGGCTCTGGAGTGTTGGGTTGCATCTGAAAGGCACGATGCTAGCCAGCTGTTCACTATCTCCAGAAATTAGCCTGCCCTGGGAGGGCAGCTCTCTGGATTAGCAAGGCCCTGTGGTAGCAAAGCATCATCAGATGGAAACAATGGAAACGGATTCATACGCCTTCCTGGGAGAGAAGCTCCAGAAGGGCGCCCTCCCTGGGGACCTCATAACCTCAACTTGAAGCACCAGAAGCATTTCCTGAGAAGGGGGAAGAAGAGCTGGGATGGGAGATGGGAAGGGACTGGTCCTGGGGGAGGAGGTGGTGCCGAACGAAGCACAAGGAAGAACTGATGGCGTGGAAGCCGCCACAGGAACAGGCCGGTCAGAGTCCGTGGGAACAAGCTCTGTGTAGCGTTGTGTGTCATCTCAGCCCCAGCTGTTCTTCTGTGTGAAAAGTCAATGGCCATTCAGCACCCTCTCACTCGCTGGGTGTCTGTGGTATGTCGTGTTCGAGGCCTGTGGAGTGGGGAGCAGGGAACTGTACCCTCAGGTCACCCCCTTCCCATCACCCCTCACCTGCCTGAATGCCGGGCAGGGCAGGAGGCACAGGACGAGGAGTGGTCACTTGAGCTCTATGTAGCATGTGTGTTGGAGAAGGGGGACTGGTCTGTACGTCTGTGTGGTTAGCCCTTTCTCGGGGTTTGCAATGGGTCCAGAGGTCTTTAAGAAAGGGCACGGCGTGGGCACGGAGGACGAGACTAAGTGCCTTGTGTACACTGGTGGTTGGGGACTGGAGCCCCAGCGGGTGGGTTCTGAGATGCAGTTGCGTGTCCCCCGGGCACGCTAACAGTAACGGGGGCAGCCGGGAGCAGTGGCGTGGTCTGAGGGTGTCAGCACGGCCCGGGTGCCAGCACAGAGCTGAGACTCCGGTGCCCTTCATCCTGACACGGGTCCCCAAGGCAGAAGACAACTCCAGCCAGTGATGAAGGTCACTCTCAGAACACTCCAGCTTCTCTCTCAGGGCAGCCACCTACGTGGTCCCTTGCCAACCACCTACACAGCATCAGATAAGACGCTCGCTACCCTAGCACCTTTTATGGGAAAATGAGGGTGCTGAGCTCAGCAATCTCTTCCAGCTTCAAAATGCACCCCAGCCCTTCCCGGTTTGGCTCAGTGGATAGAGCATCAGCCTGCAGACTGAAAGGTCCCAGGTTCGATTCCGGTGAAGGGCATGTACGTTGGTTGCGGGCACACCCCCAGTAGGGGGCGTGCAGGAGGCAGCTGATCGATGTTTCTCATCCATGTTTCTCTCTATCCCTCTCCCTTCCTCTCTGTAAAAATCTCAATAAAATATATATATATTTTAAAAATGCACCCCATCTGACAGATGTCCACCCCTAGTCTGTGCCTCTTGCCCGCCCCACATTCAGGCAGGTGTAGGGTGGGGGAGGGGTGATGGGAAAGGGGTGACTTGAGGGTACAGTTCCCTGCTCCCCGCTCCGCAGGCTTGGAACACGACATACCACAGACACCCAGTGAGTGAGAGGGTGCTGAATGGTCATTGACTTTTTACACAAAGAACAGGAAGCTGGAGCCGAGATGACACACAACGCTGTCCTCCTCACTGTAGTCACCTGAACTCAGTATTAGCCATGTTTGTCTGTTTCTTTGCTCCATCCTTCGCCGGTGTCCTGCTGGAGACATGGGGAGGAATGGGGAAATGGTCCAGAGAAGTGCTGGGACCCAGCGTGGGGATGGATTGGATGGATCTCCGCTCCTCAGGACATAAAGGTTAGTGCCGCCGGCAGCCGAGGGGCTGGGGAGGGTCCTGATGAGCCTAGTCCTTTGTCCCCAGGAGGGAACTGGGCTGGCGGGGTCTTCTGAGCCTTGGGGAGGGGCCCAGCCTGAACATGGACTCCCCACTCCCTCTTACCTCGATTCTCCTCTTCCCATACCACCTGGAGATCTGGTCGGGTGTGTGGCCGGGGAAAGGAATGTACTCTTGACTGTAGGAGCTCTGGGGTGTCTTCTCAGTGGTTCTGATGAACTGGAAAAGATTACATATTCAAGACAACTTCTGCTGCGACCCCTCACCTCCTGGGCCAGAGAAGTGGTACAGTAGGACTCCAGGGCGTCCTTCATAACCCTGGCTTTTGTCCCTGTCCTACCAGGATTGGGAAAGGGGTGTGCACTCCACCACTCAGGTGTCACCTGACACTTCTCATGGTCCACATCTGTTCGCTCTCTCACCTCCTCCCTCCCTGGTCTTCTCTCTGCTTGCCTCCTCCCTTTCCTTTTCTTCTTTGTTCTCAGTCTTTCCAACTCATTCTTTTCTCCCGTGCTATTTTATCTTCTTTAACAAATAATTTTTATTGGTTTCAGAGAGGAAGGAAGAAGGAGAGAGGCACAGAAGCATCATTGATGAGGGGGACTTATCGATGGGCTGCCTCCTGCACGTCCCACACTGGGGACCGAGCCCACAACTGGGCATGTGCCCTGACCTGGAATCGAACCAAGACCTCCTGGTTCATGGGTTGACACTCAACTATGGAGCCACGCTGGCCGGGCTATTATGTTTTCTGGTTTATATTTTTAAAATTCATTATGGTAAAATATACATAATGAAATTTACTATCTTAATTATTTTTAAGTGTACACTTCAGTGGCATCAAGTACATTCACATTATTGTGCAATTACCCATCACCACCATCCATTTCCAGAACTTCTTCATCACTTCAAACTGAAACTCTGTCTCCATTCAACAAGTCCCTCTGCACCCCCCCCTCACCCCGTGGTACCCACTATCTTCTACTTTCCATCTCTATGGACTTGACTACTCAAGGTACCACATGTAAGTGCAATCATACAGTATTTGGGCTCTGTGACTGGCTTCTTTCACTTAGCATAGTGGCTCATAGTCCCGATTGCCAAAAATGAAGATACTCAACTTTAAATAGGTCAATTCAGGCAAACTACCATCTTTTGTAATGGCCTTTCAAGTACATGGAAATACCATGAACCCATTTGTTCTGTTTTGAAAGTAAAAATTGAAATGTGGTTCTAGCCAGTTAGGCTCAGTGGATAGTGTGTCAGCTTGAGGACCAAAGGGTTTGATTCCAATCACAGGCACATGCCCAGGTTTCGGCCTCCATCCCCAGTTGGGGGCATGCAGCAGACAGCCAATCAATGATTCTTTCTCATCGTTGTCCTCTCTCTCTCTCTCTATCTCTCTCTCTCTCTCTCTCTTTCTCTCTCTCTCCCTCTCTGAAATCAATAAAAATATATTTAGTGCCAACGGTTTCTTTTAGGACTTAAAAACAAAACAAACAAACAAAAAAACACCCTGAAATGCACAGGAAGGGCAAGGTTGTGGAACAGGTGCCAGAAAACAGAAGCTCCTCCCAGACATCATGGCAGGGATGTCCAGCCTGCCTCGGCAGCTACAGTTCTGATAAGGGCCAGGCCAGGAAGAGCAGAGATTCTTCAAATCAAGGTGTAAAGGAATTAGGAACAGGAAACATCAGATGCCTAGAAACACCCCACTGCAAAGACTTCTGTGAAGCACAACTATATTGACACATCATCTGCCATGGCATTTTCAAAATACCAGGGGGAGGGGGGGACCTTGATGATGGCTTGAAGATAACTCTCCAGTGTAGCACACACAGACACCCTCAGGCCATATTCTTAAGAGGCAACCATAAATAGCCCTTAATTTGAATACAGTAATGACTGCACTCCTACCTCTCCCTGCCAGACCTCCCCTCTGAGCCCTCTGTCCACCCTCTCTCTTTCCTTACCTTCCTCCTCTCTTCCACCCAGTTTCCGGTGAGCACTCTGGTTGAATACTTGCTCTCGACCTTCCAGCTTGGAGTATACACTGACTGTGGACTTACTGCATTTGAAAACTGCATGGTAAGGATTCACCCCAGGTCTCCTTGACTTGACACCGTTTTAAGGGTTCAGGAGTGGGGATATAATGAAGTTGCTGAGTTTGGGGTGCCTTTATGTTTTTTCTTCTTCTCTGACACCCTTCTGAGTGAGTTGTAGGTGACAGGATAAAAGGGCTTGAGAGTCCACTTTCAGCTTCCAGGGAGAGGTCACTTGATCTTGGATTCCGTATTGTTGACTGTCACCATGGTGATAGACTGAGTATAAATAGTCTCCTGTTCTGGCTGGTGTGGCTCAGGGCCTGAGCATCAATCAACCCATGAACCACAAGGTCACTTGAATTCCAGGTGAGGCATATGCCAGGGTGTTTGGCTTGATCCTCAGTAGGGGGTGTGCAACAGGCAACTGATTCATGATTCTCTCTCATCATTGATGTTTCTATATCTCTCTCCCTTCCTCTCTGAAATCAATAAAGATCTATTTTTTTTTTTAAAGAAAAGGTCAAATAAGATCTTAGTATGAATGGTGGACACACAATACAGATGATGTAGCATAGAACTGTACACTTGAGCCGAAACCGGTTTGGCTCAATGGATAGAGCGTCGGCTTGGGGACTGAAGGGACCCAGGGTTCGATTCTGGTCAAGGGCATGTACCTTGGTTGCGGGCATATCCCCAGTAGGGGGTGTGCAAGAGGCAGCTGATCGATGACTCTCTCTCATCAATGTTTCTAACTCTCTATCTCTCTCCCTTCCTCTCTGTACAAAATCAATAAAATATATATTTTTAAAAGCATATTAAAAAAAAAAAGAACTGTACACTTGAGATATATATAATCTTTCTAACAAACTAGAGGCTCGGTGCATGAATTCATGCGCGGGTGGGGTCCCTTGGCCTGGCTGGCAATTGGGGCTGATCAGGGCTGGCCAGGCCAGGGGTGGGGGTTGGGGGAGGGGGCATAGGAGGATTGTGGGAGGTTGCCTGTGGGAGCAAACTGACCACCAGGAGGCAGCTCCTGCACTGAGCATCTTCCCCTTGGTGGTCAATGCACATTGACCAGTCAACTAGTCATTTGGTCGACCAGTTGTAACAGTCACTTAGGCTTTTATATATATAGATGTCATCCTAATAAATTTAATTTTTTTAAAAATGGAAAAATATCAATGGTTATTCCATTATATCATCATTGGAAATATAATACTATGTAAATATTAATATCTACACTAATAAAAGAGAAAGATGAAAATTGACCATCACTTTGTGACATCCACCAGCCAATGAGAAGTGAGTATGCAAAGATGGCAGGCACTGAGCGGCCTGGGGCGGGTGACCGATTACACTTGTGCCAGCACCAAGTGCATAGGCCCAGAGCACCCAGGGTCTCAGAATGCCACCAGCCATTTTGGGGCTACATGCACAGGCTCTGAGCAGCCAGGGGCGAAGCAGCTATGCGCTGGTGCCAAGCAGCCTGCATCCCAGGGACAGGTGTTCTCTGGAGCCAGGCCACTCTGAGCCTGTAGACCCATGTGTAGGAATGCCCCTGGCCACTCTGCCTACACACACAGGTGCCAAGTGGCCATTGGCAGGGTGGAAACATCCCCAGGTCCCAGGAGCTCTGAGGCAGCACATGCCAACCAGCCAGGGGCAGGGTGGGAATGTCCCCTGCAGAGAGTCAGCAGACAGCAGACAGCCCTTCTTGCCCCTGGCCGTGGCAGCGAGGGACAAGCAGTCCCCTGTAGAGCCCCACAGAGAGCAGACACCAGGGCCTGTTGAGGTATCAAGCAAACAAGTCCACAGAGAGCAGAGAACCATGGGGAGCAGGCCTAAGCCATCAATAGGACATCCCCTGAGGACTCCCAGATTGAAGAGGGTGCAGGTCGAGCTGAGGGACCATCCCCACTTCCCCTGTGTATGAATTTCATGCACCGAGCCCCTAGTTTATTTACAATTTCTTAAATTAAATTGGTACTTCTCTTGAATAATAAAAAAAATGAACAAACAAATAAAGAAGATCTTAGTAGTATTAAGAACATGGTTTTGACCTTGCAGTTTCCCTGAAGGAGGTTTGGGGATAGCCAGGAAATTTTCCACCACTGTATTTCAAATATGGCTTCTGCCTCATTCCTCCTTTCTTTCTGGGACAGCAGTTACATCTTTGTGTGGCTTCTCACTGAATCCTCATGACTCCTGTCCACCTCTTCTGCATTTTCTATTCTTTTGTCTCTTTGTTTGATTCTGAATTAGCCCTTCCAGTCCCCTATCCCCTCTCAAGTGTGTCTCATGTGACTAAACCCATTGTTAATGTTTCATTTGATTTGTTGCATTTTTCAATTCTAAAATGTCTGATTGATTTGTACAGTATATATGATATATACACACACCTATATAATGTTACTTTTCATAGTTCCAAATTTCTATTTCTTTTAAACTTCTGAATTTTCAGATTACCTATCACATTTTGCCTTCTAGATTTTCAAATGTATGAAATTATAAATCTGCAGATTAATAGATTCTATTTACAAATATATTCTATAGATTTTACCTCCTTGGACATAGTGAACAGAGCTATTTTATAGTCTGTGGTTCCTTTTTTCTTTCTTTCTTTCTTTCTTTCTTTCTTTCTTTTTTTTAACTGTTGTTTCTGTGAGTTTTGACTGCTAATACTTCTCTTCTCACATGCCCGGTAGCTGAAAAATAATGGGAGGTCTAGGAGGATATTACTTTCCTCCAGAGATGACTGCCATTTATGTTTTCAGTCACCCGTGGACATTAGAAACAAGACCACTTTAAGGTAGTCTAGAGGCAGGCATGTTAGTCATGGCATGTTCACAGCTCCGTGTGCTCATGCTGAGTTCAAGGACCTACAGGGTGCCCTGAAGACTCACAGTGGGATTTCACCCTCCAGAGGAGGGAGGCTCTCCAGAGCAGGGAAGGCCCTACAATGAGACCTGAGAGGTGAATGAATTATTGACTTCTTCTCTCTGGTCTACGGTGGCCTGGAAACACTTCTTGGCCAATCAGCTTGGGGTTGTTGCACAAGGAACCCAATGATGGTGGGCGGTGGACTTGGAACTCAGACACACTTTGCTTCAACTTCCAGTTGCTCCTCTTACCCAGGCCCTCAGCCAAGTCAACTGTGGTTTCCTAATCTATACATTGGAAGTAAATACCTTGCATATACTTTGTCAGATGATGAGAATCCAGTGACCCATCAAGCATTTGCAAAAAGCCTGTCACATATGGGGTCAATAAATGTCCCATCCTCTCTTCCCCACATGCCTGAACAATGTTTATTTTAGTAACAGAATCCATTCCTTCCTCTATATTACAGGGGTGTATTTGGGACATTGGGGCAGCAATATTTCAAAAGGCAGTAATTCTAGATTCCTTTTGACAGGACACAAAAGCAACTTGTTATCCTCACCAGATGCTCAAGGCTCAAGATTTAATAAAACACCCCCAAGCACTTGACATGATTATCTCCATTTCAAGGAAAGAAAACTGAGGTTTGGAGATGAAGTGAACTTTGGGCCTATACTTGGCTCTAGACCACAAGTTCCTTCATCCCTCTGCCTCCTGGAAGGAAGCCTTGTGACACAGCAGCAACAAGCCCAAAATGTGTCTTGTCAACTTAAAAGTCATCTGTCCTTCCATGAAATGGTTTCATGGTGGTGGACATGGGCCCTTGAAGGGTTTTGCCTATGACTAAATAATGCTTTGAAACTGAACCTCAGGCTCTGCCCTATCATATTCAACCTTGTCCTACAATTTGCAAGACACCCAGCGGCAGTGTTAGGATAGTGATGGGCTGGCCAGGGAACAGAGCAGGCCCTGGCCACCTTGGGGAGGGAGGAGCCACATTTGATAGATGGAGGCGAGGATGTTAGAGGCAATGACCCAGTAAGACTGCAGCCTGATCTGACTCCTTCACTGACCCTTGCAGCATTACATTTGAGCTAAGGAACTTCCCTTCTAAAATATGGACATGCCATTTGTCAAGACAATCCATTTTCTTTCTGCTTTTGGGATTGGTGATTATGATCCAACTACTTCCCTCCGAGCTGAGACCTGCTGAATGAAAGGGAACAGGATAAGCATTTTGGGAGAGCCCATCAACTTTCACAATGTGCCCATAAACTAATATATATATAAAACATGCCCAGCCACCAATCCTTCTTGAATCTATCACATAGAACCACACATGCAGAGGGCGGTGTGTGTGCAGAAATGTTCACTACAGACTTATTTGTCTGTAAAAAACTGGAAAGAGCCCAAATGTGTCCTCCAGAGGGAAATGGCTAAGAACTGTCATGTGGCCAGACCATGGAATATTATGCAGTAGCTGAAAAGGAGGCAGCTAGATCTCTACTGTTTACTAGATATATTGAGGGGGAAACCCCCAGTGGCACTACTTATATAGAATTATTGTTACTTTATGTACCAAAGTATGGCAGTCATCCCGCAAAATGATATTCTATGTATTTTCTTTGGGTGCATACATACCTAAGTATGTACAAGCATAGGAACAGGCTTTGAAGTGTTGGCAGATCCTAGTATCCCCTCCCCCAAAAGGAATAGATCAATGGGGCTAGAGTTGCAAGAGTCATTAAAAAGGACTTTGCCCTATTTCTAGCATTTGAAGGCTTTATTTAAAAATATTTATGTATCACATAAGTAATTTAAAATTATCTTTGTAAAATGTAGAATGGAAGTGGAAATATGATGCAAAGTGTGGCAGCTGTCATATTGTCTAAAAATATCTACTGCCCTCTTGTCAGGCTTGGCCATGTGACTTGCTCTGGCCAATGAAAGGTGAGCAGGAACCATGAGCCTTACTTCTTTTCTTTTTTAAAAATATATTTTATTGATTTTGTACAGAGAGGAAGAGAGAGAGATAGAGAGTTAGAAACATCGATGAGAGAGAGTCATCGATCAGCTGCCTCTTGCACACCCTCTACTGGGGATATGCCCGCAACCAAGGTACATGCCCTTGACCGGAATCAAACCCGAGACCCTTCAGTCCCCAAGCCGACACTCTATCCATTGAGCCAAACCGGTTTTGGCATGAGCCTTACTTCTGAGCACAGCTTTGGGAGCCACCAGGTTCTTTTTCCCTCTGCCATGATGTTTCAAATAGAGGCTGCTCCATCAGCCTGGATCTCAGAACAAACAGACACACATGGAGCAGAGCTGCCCCTGACCAGTGAGGGCTGAGTAATGAGTAACATGAGCAAGAAATAGTCTTTGGCTGTCATAAGCCACTAAGACTGTGGGGCCATTTGTCATTGCAGCAGATCCTAACCTATACTAGTCTATACTAGCTCAGGAACAAGAAGATAGTTCAAGTAGTCATTCTGAAACAGAGAGTGCGGGGTGGGGATAGGGAGGGAAGGAAGACAAGGTTTGGAATCAGAAAGGCAGAGAGGTCCTGGGTGGGAGTGAGGAACACCTGAGGAGGACACTGGGGGAAAGAGACTAATTTTGCCAATTTTTTGACTTTTCCCTCAGACCTTGTCTGAAATTGCCTGCTCCTGACCAAAGACAGCAATTTGGGATGCAACTCATCGTCTTTCAGCAGATGGCACGTGCCCTGGGCTACCTGGCAGGTCTTTACAGGGAAGTCCTGGGAATTTACCGAGAAAACATTCCCAGGGTGTCTGGGTTTACAGGTGTATGGGTGTCCATCTCCCCTGAGCTGTGTTAGCTGGGCACTTACCGGTAGCAAGTCCAAAGTCATTCACACTTAGAGAAAACTACAGTTCAGTTAACAAAATAAACCAGATGGCAAAACACTGACTCAGACAACAGCGAACACCTAGTTGGGTGGGAAATGACTCAGGTAAGGCTGCGGTCATCATTGTGAATGATGGGAAAGAAAAGGGCTAATGGGCCATGGGGCACGGCAGGTATAGGTGATTGTTAGACAGATCGGGGTTGCAATGCACAGCACCTGGCCAATCACATGGCCTTGGACAAACTAGTTGATCAGCTGGCCTGAGCCTGACTGGAAAGAAACAAGAAATGATTGTTGTTATTAATGTGTCTGGGCCTCAATTTCCTCATCTGTAAAATGGGCTTCAGGATACTCACTTTGGGGAATTCATTCAGATTATGACCTGCAGAATGAGGAGGCACCAGCCCCCCGGAACCGCACCTCATACAGGGCTGCAGGTAGCTCCCTCAGCATCCAAGTTCCCACCTTAAGGAAGTGAAAATCCCAGGGTCATTTTGACGAAAGGTACAGTTTTATTTATCTTTTTAAGATATACTTTTATTGATTTTTTTTACAGAGAGGAAGGGAGAGGGCTAGAGAGCTAGAAATATCGATGAGAGAGAAACATCGACCAGCTGCCTCCTGCACACCCCCTACCGGGGATATGTCCAAAACCAATGTACATGCCCTTGACCAGAATCAAACCTGGGACCTTTCAGTCCGCAGGCAGACGCTCTATCCACTGAGCCAAACAGGTTTTGGCTAAAGGTACAGTTTTAATACTCACATAAAGGAGGTGAAATGAAGTCACAAGACTTACTATTTGCAGATCCTCGAAACAGGGGGTAGGGGTGCAATGAGCTAGGGGAGAAGCAGTTCTTCAGCCCAGGTTATGAGCGAGCAGGAGACAAGAGCAGGGCTGCAAGCACTTATTATCAGGCGGTTGGGGTGGAGGTCCATCTAACAGTGCTTCCAGTCTCTGTCTAAAGCATAGCCCACTCACCTCCACTGGGCACAATCCTCCAGTGGCTCATCCCACTCTTCAGCACCCCGCAGTGGAAGAGCCAACCACCCAATGCTCCAGAAGGTCAGCTCATGTCTCTCCACCTGCCTCCAGAGGCAGCAGTGAAATAACAAAGACCAAATTCCAGGAGGGAAGCCATCCAGAATCAACTCAGAGGTCTGTCTCAAAAGGGACCATGCATCTCAGATCCTAGTGCTCCCCAACAGCTGAATGTCTACCAAACAATGTTCTTTCAACCAGTGGTTTCTAGTTCTCCAACAAAGCCACCTGAGGGTCTGCCTGCTGTGAATAGATCGAGAAGCCACCCAATGGTTTCTTCTCTGTCCCATATTTCAGCACAAACATTCGACTGGAAGCCAGTTAAAGGAATGCTTGGGGGTTTTGTAAACTTGGGTCTTGGTCTATAAAAGCCACTGGCCAACCAGGAAGAGTCTCCTGAAGATTCAGCATGGGAGCCTGGGTCATCCTTGTTTATTAATTTTTTTAAATATATTTTTATTGATTTCAGAGAGGAAAGGAGGAGAAATGAAAACATCAATGATGAGAGAGAATCACTGATAGGCTGCCTCCTGCAAGCCATTGTGTGCAGATCGAACCTGCAACCTAGGCATGTGTCCTGACCAGAAATCAAAACATGACCTCTTGGCTCATAGATTGATGCTCAACCACTGAGCCATGCCAGCCAGGCCATTTTTTAAGAAATATTTTTTTACTGATTTCAGAGAGGAAGGGGAAGGGTCATATAGAAACATCAATGATAAGAGGAATATCATTGATCTGCTGCCTCCTACACACCACCTACTAGGGATCAAACCCACAACCCAGACATGTGCCCTGACGGGGAATCCAAACATGACCTCTTGGTTCATAGGTTGGTGCTCAACCGCTTGGCCACAAAGGCCAGATATGAGTCGTCCTTTTAAAGGAATAGCTATTCCTAAGGGGCAAGTGGTCAACTTGCCCATAGTCCTTGTCCTCTCTTGCCACTTCCATGTACCTTTGCTCAGGATTCAATTTAGCTTCTGTAGTAGAGTGAGTGTTGATATCCACCCAGTTGAGTAAGTGTTGATGTAGGGAAGATGGTGCCATAGCCAGTTTGACTCAGTGGTTAGAGCGCCAGCCCGAGGACTCAAGGGTCTCAGGTTCAATTCTAGTCAAGGGCATGTACCTTGGTTGCAGGCTTGATCCCTAGCCTGATCAGGGCATGTGTGGGAGGTAACCAATTGATGTGTCTCACATTGATGTTTCTACCTCTCCCCCTCCCTTCCACTCTCTCTAAAAATCAATGGGGGGCGGGTGTATGTGTGTGTGTGTGTGTGTGTGTGTGTGTGTGTGTGTGTGAGAGAGAGAGAGAGAGAGAGAGAGAGAGAGAGAGAAGATTAATGAAAATATAAAATAAAACAAAAATATACTTTGTGATTAAAAATATATATATTTGTTTTTAAATATTTTTATTGATTTCAGAGAGAAGAAGGGAGAGGGAGATGGAGATAGAAACATCAATGATAAGAGAGAGTATCATTGATCGCCTGCCCCCTGCATGCCCCACACTGGGGATCTAGCCCACAACCGAGAATCAAACCATGACCTTCTGGTTCATAGATCAAAGCTCAACTGGCCAGGCTGGGGCGGGGGGGGGGGGGGGGGGGTGTTGTTTTGTATTTTTAAAGAAGAAGATGGCAATCTCAATAGTTTCCCTGGCCCCACTCAGCATCTCCTTCATCAGCAAGAGAGACCCATAAGGAACTGGATGATGGCGGGACCTACACTCTCACAGCCCCTTCACAAACTGGACCATGACCCTCAGAATCCTCGTGGCGCAGGGGAATTGAAAGAATCCCATGCCGAAGGTGTTCAGCGCCCCATGGAAACCATCCTCCATGTGGTGCCAGGTCACCGGGACGCCCAGGTCCTCCAGTCTCTTCTTGTACAGCAGAGAATTGTCCCGGAGAAGGTCATACTCGCAGCTCACGATGCAGGCTTCCGGAAGCTGAGACACAACTTGGTCTTCTGCAAGCAGGGGCGAGTTCAGCAAATCCAGAAGGATGTCTGTCTCCATGTAAGCATCCTCATTCAAGGGCGCACGGGTCACCGGGGGGTAGCTCCTCTGCTTAAACCTTTCTGGTATGTTTTCCAGGCTCAACCACCTTCCGTACTTTTCCCAGACTTGGGCAGGCATATGGGCGCCCTTTAGGATGGCGCTCTTCCACTGGAGGCTTATGTCCAGGTAATAATGCATACAGTGTATGGCAAAGTCCAGAGAGAGCATCGGGACATTCTTGTTCTGCTGGAAGGAAGGCAGTTGGTAATCCACGACTTGGAGAGTGGCATAGACCAGAATCTGAGCCCGGATCTTGGGCAGATCTGGCCGAGCCATGAATTTTTGACAAATTGTCACGGCCGCTCCCCCTCCCCCGCTGTCACCGCAGAGCACGACCCGGGCTGGATCCACCCCATACATATCTAGGGACTTCAGGAAGTGGGCGGTGGCCACTAGGCAGTCGTTCATGGCCGACGGGAACCTGTGCTTGGGCGCCAGGCGGTATCTAAAAGGGAATCAAGGAACATGGTTTACACTCATCATCCCAGCATTGCCCAAAACACCTGCCTCTAGCATCCAAGTTCTTCCATTAACGCCTCCTTCTGAAACCTGAGCAGTTAAAGTTAAGCTACGGGCCTTACATGAGCTCATAAACATAAAATCCTCAGTCCCCAGCACATGCGCTCTGTAAGTGGCAGCTGCTAGTCCCACCTTCTCCATGTTCAAGTTAGGGGACAGGTGGAGACCTCAAGAACCCTGCCATCCACCTATCGATCCACAACTTAGCTCTCACCAGCCCAGGAGCCCCCTCCTTCTGAACCTACCTGCTGGTGCGGCTCCGGCTCACACCTGCTGCCTACTTTTTGAATTTTTTTTTTTTTTTATGAGCAACCTCAGGCTGGCCTGGATTTAGATAGTAAATAACGCTGCCATGCTCACAGGTCTTTGTGGCCTAGCCTCTTGAAGACTCAGATGCTACCAATTTGCCAGCAGATAACATACTAGTATGCACCACTTTCAGATCAGTCACCCCAACTCAAGCCCCTGGCTTCACGCGGGGGCAGCTGTCACGTGGGCTCGCCAGCCCGGCATTTTTTCAGAGGTTCCAGAAATCAAGTTCGGGAGAGAAATGTCGCTCTTCTAAATGCTGGCCTCTAACTTAGGAAATGCTTTATGGCAGTGGTCGGCAAGCTGCAGCTTGCGAGCCACATGCGGCTCTTTGGCCTCTTGCGTTTTTAGCAGAGGCCAGCTTAGGAGTACCCTAATTAAGTTGATAACAATTACCTACCTATGTAGTTTAAGTTTAAAAAATTTGGCTCTCAAAAGAAATTTTAATCGTTGTACTGTTGTTACTTGGCTCTGTTGACTGAGTTTGCCGACCACTGCTTTAGGGGATCCACAAAGCTTCTGCCACCCATGTCCATTCTGATGCCCCCTCTTCTGAGCTGCCTGGGATGGCCATGCATTAAGTCCTAAACGCTGTCTCCCCAGGGGTCACAAAATAGGGTCCCTGCAGGTATTTGCTGGCATATTTTACTGACCATCTCTTGGTGCAGTATGGCATGTGAAGGCCAACCATTGGTCCAGGTTTCCATTCTCCCTGCAGAAACGGTCTTGGCGCCAAGAACTGTAAGGTGAGGTGCTATCCGGGCCTCTCTCCCTGAGCCCGGACTGGCATCTATCATTTTTTTACTCTACTCAGCCAGCTGTGCCACCAGAAAGCCGGGAAATGGAGCCCCACCAAGATCTTGGCAATTGGTATTTCTTCCCGGGGTGTGTATTTCAACAAAACTGCAGGAGAGGCGCCATCAGGGGCCCCTCCCAGCCCCAGCAGGACCCTGTTCACAGGAGGACAAGGCCACACTACGACAGTGACCAGTTTGCCTGACACAGAGGCCCAAGGAGGGGCCTCCTGCCCCATGTCCACCAAGCCCTCTTCGCCCCCTTCCCAGGTTGGGTGGGTGACTGTCCAAGGTCAGTTAGGACAGAGAGTAGCTTTTTAATTCTTCTCCCTTCCTTTGCTGGATCTCGCCAGGGCGGCCCTCCCTCCGGAGAGCACTTGGAACCGATGTGATGGTGTTTGTGGTTCTGCTGGCGATGGCGCAGAGCACTGTGGGTATTTAGCGGAGAGGCGTACTGGGCTGTTCTGCTCAACCAGGAGTATTCCATCCCAAAGTGCTGTGCTCTGAAGCTTGGCAGCTGACCTGCTTAAGGCAGTCCAACCCCCACCCAGCTTCCAAAGGATGCGGTGCCCAGAGCACCCCATTGAAACATGCCCACGGGCTGCCCACGGGAAGGAGGGCCTGTTCTCTGCCTCTCCATCTCTCCCTCTTCCTTCCTCTCCTCCTGGCTGGTGTCCTTGCTCTCGGTGTCCCGCGACTCGCTGCTGTCTGAGTCCCCACCTCCCGCCCACTCACTCCGGGTCCCAGCATGGTTTCCCTGGCCCTCCTACCCTCCCCTTTACTCACCCGATCATTAAAACCACCGAGTCGCTCTCCTTGCTCAAACAACAGCATATTTTGTGGTACATTTCTGGAAAAGAAGAGGCTTTCTTACTTCACTAGGAAAGCTAGCGGGCATCCTTTACCCATCATTGGCAGCCCCTGCCCATGAACCACCACCACGTGAATGTTCATGGACAATGTCTGAGAAGCTGTTGGGCCATCAGTACAGTGGTTCTGTGTGGGAACTCTGGATTCAGACCCAAGTCTGAATCTCTATGTCGTCTCCTATGCATCTTATCTAATACCAATATGCAAATTGTCCCCTAGGCATATACGTAGGTTGCGGGCACATCCCCAGTGGGGTGTGTGTAGGAGGCGGCTGATTGATGTTTCTCTCATCGATGTTTCTAACTCTCTCTCCCTCTCCCTTCCTGTTTGTAAAAAATTAATAAAATATATGAAAGGGGGGGGGGGGGAGGTGAAAAGCAACAGCATCTGTTTCGCAGAGAGCCCTTATGGAGGCAGCACCACCTCACCCCACCCCTCCTCCCAGCAGAGAGAGTGGCCCCTGCCAAGCTCCTCCCACGGGGACACACCTCATCTCTGCCTCCAGCCCAGAGCTACAACTGAGCGTCTGGGCTTTATCTCAGCAAGCTGGGTCCTAAGAGAATTACCTCCTTGCTTGGCATCATTCTGGCTTAGGAAGGCCGTCCTCAGGACGCCCTATTTCGCATAGTGGGGGAACCCGAACAGGCGTCGATTGCTCTCTCCCTTCCAGAAAGAGATCGATCCTTCTGCATCTTTGCTGCCTGAATGAACTGGGTATTCCCAGGCCATCACAGCAGCATCCAGACCCCAGAAGGTGACGGGAGTGCAGCCTCCTGCGGGGAGGTGGGCGCCCCCCACACCGCTCGGCCTGTCACCCGCAGGCTGGGTCTCAGGGGAGGACTCTTACTGAAGCTCCCGAGGACCACCCCGCCGCCGTGTATGAGCACGATGCCGGGCCGGAGGCTGCTGGCGGCCCTCCTGGGCTGGTACAGCTTCACCGGGACGCTCCCGTAGCGGAGGTCGGTGACCACCACATCTGGATCCTTGCTGTACGGGGACAGGTCGTGCATGAAGTGGATGAACTGGGGCATCGAACAGATCCTCAGTTTCTCAAGAATCATCCCCTATTGGCCAGAGAAGAGGAAATGCAGTGGAAAGGATTTCGGCGTGTCCCTGGGAGTCCTGCCATCCTCGCCCCCCCCCCCCGCCCCCCCGCCACCACCCCCCCCCCCAGTCATCCCCCAAACAGAAGGTCCCAGCCAGCACTGGCCCTGCACCAGAGGGCTCAGACCTCTCCCATCCCCGGATCCTGCACAAGCCAGCCCTGCAGACCAGGCTCTGGCCACCCCTGAGGGTTCCCCTTACCTGGGATGCCCCACCCCCACAGGTTCCTGCTCCAGCTCTGCCTGTACCTGGCATTCCTTCCAGAGACTCCCCCTCTCCCCCCTGCCACTGGACCCCTTCCCCAGCCAACCTGGCCCTCCCAGGCATTATTGCTATTTTTAAGATATAATGTCTGCATTGTGGTGGTTTTTCTAAAAGGGGAGGATAGAGTTTTTATCTTTTAGAGATACCTATGGAAATAGTTTTGAATAAAATAATACAATATTCAGCCAGCCCTGCATGGCTCAGTGGCTGAGCATCCACCTATGAACCTGAAGGTCACGGTTCGATTCCTGGTCAGGGCACAGGCCTGGGTTGCAGGCTTGATCCCCAGTGTGGGGCGTGCAGGAGGCAGCCGATCAATGATTCTCTCATCATTGATGTTCCTCTCTCTCTCTCTCTCTCTTCCTTCTCATTGAAATCAATAAAAAACAATTAAAAAATATAACATCCAGGACCTGCTTCATAAGTAAATGGGAATGAGGGACAGGTTGGGGACACGGATGAAGCGAGATGGGCCAGAGTCACTCAAGCTGTGGAGTGGGGATGTGGGGATTCTTTCTACTGTTGGTGTATGTCTGAAAGTTTGCCTCATAAAAATAAAAACAAAGTGGGGTCTGCCCCTGGGCACTGTCTTTCCAGGGTTCCTAACCTTTCCAGTGCCAAGGCCTCTGGGCTGGTAGTGAAGCCTGTGACCTCGTGGCAGAATGTTTTTGAATACATAGATGGGGTGGCAAAGGAAGGCAGTTTTATCTATCTATCTATCTATATACATAAATATAGATAGATAGATAGATATAGATATAGATATAGATATAGATATAGATATAGATGATATAGATATAGATAAAAGGCTAATATGCTAAGTGTCTGAGCCTCTGACTGGTGGCTATGATGCACACTGACCACTAGGGGGCAGAGACTCAGCACAAGAGCTGCTGAACTGCAGTGACTTGGAAGCAGTGGTTCTGGGGGGGGGGGGGGGGGCGGAGGGGATACACCCCCAAAACCAGAGAGGAGGGAGCCCGATTCTTCAAGGGGCCACACGATTCCACCTTTGGCCGTGGGTTATATTGTTGCTGCAGCACTGTCGGCCCAAATCTGGTTTGCTGCACACTTACATTTACGTTCCACACCCTGTAGACAGCAACTTTGCAGAGTGCCCTCTTGCACTCTGGAACCCCTCGGGGGATGTCGGAGAGCCGGTTTCAGCCCGATCCCCGCAGGCCAGGCCAAGGGACCCCACCTGCCAGAGGGACCTCGCTCACTCTGCAGATGCTCTTCCAGCCATGGCGCCACCCCAGGTGCAGCCAGCAGGGGAGGGACCATGGGAGGTTGGCTCCAGGGCGTGTCTGGCCCGTATTGCCTAGTCCTACCCTACTGGCCACCTTCCAGTTAATTTCCTTTCAAGTGCAGGAATCCATGCACCGGGGCACTAGTTTTAATATAATCATCCAAATATTGAAGTGAAAGTGTGATGACATACTACGTGGGCTTCCTTCTTAGCGCACTAAATAGCGAGATCTGGGGGCTGGTCTTCTACCGTCATCATCTCAAAGGAATGGGGTACACATGGGCGTTCTCACAGAATCTGCCACCGCTGTAACCTGCTCAGAAAATATGCCATTCCTCTGGTGACCAGGTCACCGCTCTGCTGTCACGGCACTGGATTATCACCCTCATTTAGAACGGGAAGAAATAGTATATTTTCATTAGAGGTTAGGGAAAGTGGGGTGACTTTTACCTCATCTAAATTCACAGGCGCCCTGCCTTTTGTCACCCTTGGGGGCTTGGGAAACCCCATCAACAAGTCCTGTCTCTCTTTCCCACAGCACTTGCCACTCTGGGAATCATTTTGTTTGCATATTGCTGTCTTTCCCTCCATCCCTCCCAATTCCCAATCTCCCCCACTCTGGGGAAGACTCTAGCTGGGACTTTATTGCCATGACTGACCCTCAGAGCTAGAACTGGCGGATGGCAGGTAGTAGTTGCACAACACATACATCTGTGTAGAAAAAAAAAGCCAAATCAACCAACAGTGATAAGGCTAATATTTATGGAGTGCTCACTCTGAGCTGGGCCTTCAGACACACGCTCAACTCACTGCCTCGCCACAACAGGCTATGAAATCGGGACTGCTACTTCCCTGTTTTTGCAGATGAGGAAACTGAGTCACTGCGTTTGGGAACCCAGACTGTAGACAATAAAGGCCCAGGCCAGGAAGAGGACAGGAGCGAACGATCGCCTGACCCTGGGCAAAGAAACCTGAGGTACTTGGGTTCTTCTGCGCCGATGGTTTCCCATGAGAACAGGCGTTTGCAATTGCTCATCATTACGTAAGAGACTTAAGAAACGGATTTTCTGTTTGCTGTTTCTGCCAGCCCTTAGAATGGCATGGCAAACCCTACTTGCCAACCTCCACACGATTCTTGCCATGACCTACTTACATGGATTTCGTTAAACTACGCACACCAACAACAGCAAGCAGAATCTAATGCCACACACGGCCTTCCATCTTACCCAGCCAGTGTGGCTCAGCGGTTGAACCAAAAGGTCCCCTATTCGATTCCCGGTCAGGGCAATTGCCCTGGTTGCAGGGTCGATCCCCAGTAGGGAGCATGCAGGAGGCAGCCGATGGATGCCTCTTTCCCTTGGGTGTGTCTATCTCTCTATTCCCTCCCCTCCCTCTCCCAAAAAGAAAGAAGAAAGAGAAACAGGAACAGCCTTCCCCCTCTCCGAGGCAAATTATCCATATCTATAAAGCCGCCTTCTGCAGTTCCGTTCATCTGTGCTCATTTGCTCATTTGCTAGCTCGCCTCTTCATTTTGTCCTCAGCCAGTTCCAGCTAGCAGGCAGGTGGGAAGGGGGCCCCAAAGATATCAACGTATTCCTGTGCTCATGGCTTCACAGCGAGCTGAGTGCTGTGAAGGAGGTGAGGCAGGGCCGGGGAGGGGGAGCGGGCCTGAGAATGGGAATCATTCTTTGAATCTTGTGGCTCTCAGCCCATTCAGCTTGGGAAACCCTGGGAAGAGGTTGAGAGCCACTGGTTACCCAATGGGAACCCTTCAGGCTCGAGAATACACTGTCAGCCTCTACCGCCGACATATTAATTCAACTAGAAGCTTCTGCTCTGCTTTGCCAACTCTCTCTTTCACCTTCTCAGCGAGGGGACAAATAAGACTCAGAGCTCACCAATGCCACCAGCATCTGGAACAGGAAGTACAAGAGCCACAGCTTCTTGGGGTGACTGATGCCCACGGGGATGTCCACGGTGAAGAAGGTTCTGCAGGTCATCCACAGCCCAACGCCCAGGAAGAGCAGGCAGGAGGCCCCCAGGAGGGCCAGGAAGACCACCATCATCATCTCTACCACCGAGGAGGCCACCAGCGGCCGCGCTCAGCACACACCGCTGAGGACACAGTGTGGAGCTGACAGATCACCGACACTTATATCACACCCTGCCTGCCCCACCTCCTCATGTCCCAGGCGCCCAGGCCAGGTTGAGTCACAGACTCGAGCGAGGACCTGGCTCTGCAAAGCCCACGGAAAGGAGAACGTGGCGTGTGCAACTTGGCCCAGCTGGAAACCAGGCCTCCCGGGGCTAGCTTCCGTCCTGGGGCCGCGGCGAGAAAGGGCCCCTTCGACCACTCTTGCTGCTCCCGAGTCTGTGCAGGAGGCCTCGAGGCTTTGGCGCTTGCTCTCTGTGCAGCATTCTCCCCTCGGATGCCAGCTGAGCCAGCCCTCCCTACTGCAAGCCTCTGCTCTAAGGTCACCTCTGAGTGAGGCCACCCTGGCCACCTTATTGCAAATTGTAACCACCCACCCCCCGCCACACACACACACACACACACACACACACACACACACACACACAATCCTGCTTAATTTATAACTATGTCTTTTATTATCATCTGACATAATACCATGCTTCACTTGTTTGTTTCCTGTCTGTAGAATGTAACTTCTGGGGAGACAGGAATTTTTGTTCTGTTCCTTGCTTTATCCCCAGAGGTTTGGTACTTAGCAGGTGCTCAGCAAATGTCTACTGAATGGAGGAATGAATACATAGACACTGTTCTTTTTTTTTTATATATATTTTATTGATTTTTTACAGAGAGGAAGGGAGAGGGACAGAGACTTAGAAATATTGATGAGAGAGAAACATGGATCAGCTGCCTCCTGCACACCCCCCGATGGGGATGTGCCCGCAACCAAGGTACATGCCCTTGACCAGAATCGAACCTGGGACCTTTCAGTCCACAGGCCGACGCTCTATCCACTGAGCCAAACTGGTTTCGGCGACAATATTCTTTGATTTTTAAAAATATTTTTATTAATTTCAGAGAGGAAAGAGATTTCAGAGAGAGAGAGAGAGAGAGAGAGAGAGAGAGAGAGAGAGAGAGAGAGAGAGAAACATCAATGATGAGAGAGAACCATTGATCGGCTGCCTCCTGCATCCCCCCCCCCCCCACCACCCCAGGGGACAGAGCCAGTAACCTGGTCATGTGCTCTGACTGGAGAATCAAACCGTGACCTCCTGGTTCACAGATGGAGGCTCAACCACTGAGCCACGCCAGCCAGGCTTCCAACCACTTTAGAAGGTGGAATTACATGTGTTTGTTTTCCCTGCTTATTTTCTGTCTTCCCAAGGAAATGACAATTCCAGCAAGGAGCCATGTCCATTTCACTCACTACAGCATCCCAGTGGCTAGCACACACTATAGGTGCCCAGTGAGTCATCATGGAATGGATGGATGGATGGATGAATGTTGTCACATGACCTGGGGAAAAGGGCAACATGGAACACTCGGGTCTTCTCTCTGTTTGGTTATGTTTATTGTGGGTGCTGGTGGGAATGAGAGGAAGTGAAATTGCAAAAAGCCTGAAGACAACACACATGAAATCCGTGTGAAGTTTTTATGACTTTTGAAACCATCTCCCGCCAGATGCGGCAAGGAGAGAAGACCCGTGAATAGTGCCCGGGAGGAGCAAGTATGCATCTGCCACCCCCTGGCACCTAATTCAATGTGGGCGACTACCCTTCTCTTTCCCCTTGCTTCTTGCTACGTTTTAAATGGGCTTACACCTTGTGACTAGACCATCTCAGTTTGGTCTGTGAGCCTGCTCAGTAACCTCCAGAACTCCTTGCCTGATAGTATTGGGGGCTATTCCTGCACCAGGGTAACGTCTCACAGCTCACACGGCTGATCTTGAACCAGAAACTTGCCTTTGATCTTTGCCTTCTTCATTCTTCTTGTATGCCACCCCATGTTCCCCTGGAGTCTCTCCATGGAAATCGGTTCCTTCCTCTATGGTTGGACATGCCAGAGAGGCCGCACCATTTCACATTCCCGCCAGCAACGAAGGAGTGATCTGTCTGCTCCGCATCCTTGCCAACACTTTATGTGGTCCCTAATTCCCATTTTAGCCACCCTCGTGGGAGTGTAGGGATATCTCATATAGTAACTCCCATGTGTTCCTGATCCTTTGATACCTGTAACAAGATTACGCAAGTGGAGCATAGACAGTAGAGTACACATCAACCCAGCAGGGCGCAGAGAAGGAATTCCCGTGTGCACACATGAAGATTTCCGCAGCAAACCTAGGAGCATTGATGTAAGCGAAATACGTAAGGGCAACAGCTGCCGTCATTCTAGCTGCGATCTGACCGCACCAACGGATAGGCTCGGGTCAGATCTGGCTGCCGGACAAGCCATGAAAACAGCTCTTCGTTTTCTCAGCTGCCTGGACTGAACCTGAAGGTGAGGAGCCTCGCATGCAGAGCCAAACTGAACGATTGCAAGTGGCCTATTTCGTCAAGGCGCCGCTAGCACGGACTCCCTGGGTGGTAGAGAGGAGAAGCTGGGAGGCAGCACTGCTCGTCGATTCAATGTCTCGCCCACCTGACAAGCGCTTGTTGAGGAATCACTCTGTACAGCCAAGGGGGCACTTCCTGTGAAGCCAGGGGAGAGAGGTGCTCCGCAAACACTGGCTGGCTGCCTCTCCTTGAGCATCTGCCAGGAGCTCGCCGGAATTCAGTGTGTCAGCCTCTCAATGTAACAAAGGCCACAGGTAAGGATACAGGCCACAGGTAAGCCTGTGGCAATAGTGCCCTGAGGGTGGAAAAGATGAGACTGGAACAGGGTGGCCACAAATGTCCCACAGGAATGAGCTGGTTAGCTTTAGGAGCAGGCTTGGCTGGGACTGGATGAGGGAGCTCCCGAAAGGCTAGTCTGCAAATATTATAGGATCATCTGCTCAAAGGCCCAGCGTCGGGTGTTGACTCTCCTTGGCCTCCATACACCTGTGGGCCCTCCGTGCAGCTTCAGGGAAACACCAAAGGCCTCAGAATGTCCTCCAGGTCCTATGGGACTCCCCACCCCACACCCCTCTCCAACACCCCCGTCCCCGCCCCGTCCCCTGCTACCCCTGTCCTAGCCACACTGACCTGCCTGCAAAGTCCCCAAATGAAGGCTGCAATCAGCCAGAAAGTAAACAGCAATATGAAATCAGCTCTAGCTTGTTTTTTAATATATATATATATATATATACACATATATAATATATATTAAATATTTAATATATAATATATATAATATATATTACATACTTTATATATATATATATATCTATATATATATATATATATTAAAAAACAAGCTAGAGCTGATTTCATTTTATTGATGTTTTTACAGAGGAAGGGAGAAGGAGAGAGAGTTAGAAACATCAATGAGAGAGAAACATCATTCAGCTGCCTTCTGAACACTCCCCACTGGGGATGTGCCCGCAATCAAGGTACATGCCCTTGAACAGAATCAAACCTGGCACCTTTCAGTCTGCAGGTGGACACTCTTATCCACTGAGCCAAACCGGTTAGGGCTAGCTTGGGTTTTATCAAAGTCGGAGAATTAACAAACTAAAAGGGAACCCATCCTATAAGGAAGAGCGCCAAGGCCCAGAGAGGTTAAGACACTTGTTCTGAGTTACCCAGCAGGTTTGGGGCTCATCTGGTGACCAGTTCGGCAAGGTCTCCATTTCAGCTGCATCACCTTTTCAGCCACAGTTTGAAATGGGAATTAACACCTACGTTAATGTAACATCCCTTTCTGCAGCTGGCTTGGTGTCCTTCCTCTCTCTTCCAATGGAATGTTTTTGCTCATTTTTCCGCTGTAACAATGCTCGTGAGCCATCGCCCACTGTCTGGACCGAAAATTCAGGTAGCGTCAACTTATTGCACAGCTACTGTGTGCACACCATTTATCCCATTTCATTTATTTCATTTCTACATTGAACCTTCCCGGTGGCCACTATCCCCACCCCCTGCCTATTTTATTGATTCATTGATTGATTGATTGATTGCTAAAAAAAGCTAAGACTCAATAGAGCTCAAGGGCATCCCTATAAAGCATCAGGGCTCTACCTGGGGAGGCCCTGTCCTTACAGGAGACAGGCTGCAGGGTGGGGCCTTTTGAGTCATACGGCCAAACCGTAGGTGGACTCCTAGGACTGCAAAAATCATATAGGATGCCCTGTGCTCTTGTCTCAGTTATAAAGTCAGAGATGAGAGAGCTGGCCGGTGAGCCACATTCAGCCGGGTGAGAAAAACAAAGCTCAGGTGGGAAGCATTCACTCCACTCCTTCCTCTCCCCTCCTGTCTCTATTCACAGACCTGACCTACTCAGGGTACGGAATCCACTTCATATTCCTGTGTTCGCCATGTCTTTGTCATTCTGATGTTTTCACATCTGTGACCCTGCTGATTCAGAAGGGACTGTCCCTGCCAGTGTGAGCCAGGGGCTGGCGAGAAATGTAAACAGCGTCGACCTAGGAACCAAGAGGTCCTGGTTTGCTTCCCGGTCAGGCACATGTCCAGGATGTGGACTCCATCCCCATGTGGGGGGTGCAGGAGGCAGTCGATCCATGATTCTCTCTCATCATTGATGTTTCTCTCTCTCCCTTCCTCTCTGAAATCAATAAAAAATATATTTTTTTAAAAAACACCCAACAAACGAAAAAACAAAAACAGCATCCCCATGAGTGGGCTTTCCACATGCAAACCAGCCAATCCAGAGCCCACACCCCCAAACACCTCCTCCGTCCACCTGCCGCACTCCAGGCCACGCTCCCTGACTTAACCACCCACGGCCATGCTCCAAACAACTAGGGACAGCACCTATGGCCCGGAGCCCCTGAAATTATTCAAAGTAGCCACCCCAGGCCTGTGTGCTCTGCCTCATCTGCTCCTCCCACGGAGCCCTCACCCTCTGCCTCCTGACCGGCCTGGCCTTCTCCAGGTGCCTGGCAGCCGACATCGAAGTGGAGAGCCCAGCTTCTCACCCTGTTTCCAAATCCGAATCAGTTCACAGATCCAGAGCCCCAGGTCGAAGAGGAGCCGGGTCCCCTGGAGGAAGGAGTCTGTGTTTCCCCTCAAGTGTTTATATCCCACAAATCCGCCTCCCAGGCCTCCTGCAGGCTCTGCAGCCACTCACCGGAGTGACTGTGCCTGGAGGAAAGGAACACAGACCATTCGGGACACCAACACACACACACACACACACACACACACACACACACACACACACACACGGTTCTCC